GGACCTTGTCCTATTCGTAACCACACACCCATACTAGCTCAGGGCTCATCTCAGTAGTGCCAGGGAACGTGTTAGAGCCCAAAGGAAGAAAAAGCTGAACTATCAGAAGGGGTTTTTGGAGGAAGGAAGGCTTTATCTAGGAGATGGGGCTTGAGTAGCACCTTGGAAGGCACTGACGTTTAAGAAACTGAGAATGGGAGAGAGCATGCCAGGTCAGCCGAGACAGAAGAGAACCAAAGGGCAGAAATGGGAAGCACAAATTATGTCTGAGACAGTAATCGTATTTGTTTTGCAAGACTGCAAGTCTCAGGGCGGGTACAGTGAAGCTAGACTGGGGCCAGGGTCAGGGTGACAAATACCAGGCTACGGAAATGGTTTGCAAACTCTGCTCCTTGGAACACTGGTGTTCCCGTCACATTTAAGATATGAATATTTCATGGTTTCTTATAACATCAAGGTACTTCTTCATAGACTGATTTGAGAACTGTTGTGGTTACAGAAAACAATGGAATAATCATGAAAACGGTCATGTATTGATGCCTATGTGCTGGGTGCTGTGCTAAATATTCTTCCTTGTTCTTATTTGCACTTGCGTTAATTCTGAGAGGGAGGTACAAATATGATCTCTAACTGCAGATAAAGAAACTGAGGCTAAGGATTGCTAACTTGCCAAACAGACTAACTAGAGGTGCCAACCCCAGGTCAAACCCAGGCCGTCTAAGAACCAAATCCAAGCCCTTGACCTCTCACTGTATTGCTCCATGGCCTTCTTCCCTTGGGGTGACTGGGCTGAAGGGTAAGGGGGAGATTAAAAAAAAAAAAGGAATAAAGAGGAGAAACATCTTAGGATTTAGGAATAGTATCTCCTTCAGGGAAAGGATCATGGGCCAAGGAGAGAATTAGACACAGGGAGCTCAAAGAAGATACAGACCAGGCAATGGAACTGGGAAAGAACGTTCTTCAAAGCTAAGCCGGAAGCCTTTCCTCCACATGCGTTATTTCTGCCATATAATTCATCTACACTGAGGCAGGCCTCGCTGTTTAAACCAGAGTCATACTGGTGCTCTGAGGAAGGCTGATATGAGGATATGTCGCTGGGAGCTACCTAGGCAATGACCGGGGACAGGCTGGAATGACAGGGCAGCCACGTTCCTCAGCAGCAGATTACAGGAAACCTGCCCACAGCCCAGGCAGTGCCCACAACTGCTTCGGGCCATCACGGTTTCCCAAGTAGTTATTATGGCTATGATTGAAAAGTGTTCACCATCACGTGTTTAAGACACACGTCATTTCTCTGGCTAGAGTTTATGTTCTGGAATACTGTGATCTGGGCCAAGGCCAGGCAATGAGCAGGAGAGGCTGTATGGCAAAGAAGCAATGTGCTCTATCTGCACCAAACACTACAGCTTGAAAAGCCATTCATAATCTTTATCTCACTGGAATTTGACAACAACCCCGTGAGGTAGGCAAGGAAGAAGAGGCACAGGGAAGTTAAGTGACTTATACAAGAACACACAGCAAGTCGATGGCAGAACCTAACTGAGTCCCTAAATCTCTAGGTTCCAAGTCAGCTCTGGTATTTGAGACCCAAGCTGAAAAATGTTCTTACAAGTGGTAAGAATGAAGTCGGAGAGGGCTACAGGAGAAAAGGATACCATTTTCTCCCTCGATGACTGGGAATCTGAAAGGTATGGCAAGACAAATTCCAAATATCTAACACCTTATACCCTGTCAAAGCGCTGTCACCTACATTACTTCACAATAAAAGGCAGGCAGGGAGGTGAGCATAGGTGATTTGCAGAGAAAGCAGCAGAGGCTCAGCGTGGTGAAGAAACGAACTGGGAAGAGGAAGAGCATTTCCTCTCGCCTGGCCTGTCACGCTGCGCTCCTCCTCTCACCCAGGCCTGGAAGCATTTAGTGTGGTCAAGCACTGGGAGACGGTCCCAAAGCCGTGGTTCCATCTGCTAGTCATGATCTGTCCAAACCAGTGGCTCCCTCCCTGTCTGCCCGTTCCACCAGCTCCCCACAGCTTGGGCCCCACCGACGGCTGCCCCGTGTGGCCCGTCCATAGCAAGACAAGTAGCAAAACAACCAGCCTGGCCCTCCACCCTGCCACTCGGTCCAAGCCAGGGCTCTGTGGCTTGGCTCTGCCTGCTGGGCCCACATGATACTCCTGGAATAGCTGTCATGGTCAAACAGATGTGCCCACATGGTCCCCCGGGATGACCCCTGGATGTGTGTCCACGTTGCAACTTATCTCCTTGACCCTAACTCGTTGCTGGCTTAGGTCAGGACTTGTTTTCTCTGGTCCTACCTCTAAGTTCTGCCTTTTTCTTCTTTCTAATATTTTAAACCACCTACCTGATGGCTGAGCTGTCCATCCTCCCTGGGAACCAAAGGCCAGGGCTCTAAGTTTCTCAGGACAGATCTCTGGATGGCAATTACCCCCTCCTGGTACTGATCCTGGCCTGAATTCCCTCCAAAGGGTCCTGCCGGCCCGTCTGGAAATCCTGCTGATGGGCGCCCAGCCCCTGGGGTGGCCTCTCTGGGTTTGGGGCTGCACTTTGGGACCAGCCTCCTCTTCTGCTGTTGAATGAATGCCCCGTCCACTGGAGACACTGCCCCATTCCTTCCCATCTCCTTTCTTGTCCCAAGAGACCTGTTACCCACCTGCCGAGAACTGGAAATAACCCAAATGTTCTTTGACAGAAGAACTGATAATAAATTGTGCATGTTCACAATGGGATCTACAAGAGTGTAAACGAGACAGTGCCCACGACCCCCACTGGCATGGGTGGACCTTTGAAACCTTCCGTGTAGCGGAAAAGAAGGTTGCAGAAGGCTCCATACTTTATAACAGGATTTTTATAAAACTCAAAAACAAGCGAAACAAAACAATACATTGTTGAGGGATACATTCAGGCCTAATGAAAGTATTTTCTAAAGCAAGGAAATAATAAACATAAAATTCAGGGTGATGTTTGCCCCAGGGCTGGGCAGGGACCTGGTTCTGGGAGGAAACACACTGGCTGGAGGTCTTGGGCTGGGAGGAGGGTTTGGGATGATCATTTTGTTGTTTGGCTTCATGGCTTACAAATATGTTCCACGTATTCTTTTTTCATAGCTATCAAGTGCAACAAAATAACTTTAAGAATTAGATGGAGAGGGTCCCAGAGGTGTCCCTTCCTTTCTTCTCCTCCCTCCATGGATTGATCTGGGGGCAGGAAAGCGTGTGTGTCTTTGGAGTGTCTGGATGCCACGTCTCCCCACCCCGCACTGTCACCGCTGAATGGCCTGTAAGAAGATTCTGGCCTCATTCTTCATTTCCTTCCCTCCCACACTCTGAGTCCACCAGACTCTGGCTCCATTGCTCTGCCGAAGACAGTTCTGTCTAAGTCTCCAGTCAACCCCCTGCGGATGGAGTGGACAGTTTCGGAGCTGGTCTTGCCTGGCATCTCAGCAGCAGTGGACGCACCAACCCCTGCCTGCTTCTCCAAGCACCCCTTCCTTGGCGTTCCGGGGCCTTTCTCGGGTATTTATCTCAAGACACTCCTTCGTGGCCTCCTTTTCTAGCTCCCTCTCCCTTCCCTGCCTGTCCTTTAGTTAAACAGTGGTGCCCACAGGTGTCTTCTCAGTCCTCTCGTCACCCTCTTGGGTCACCATTTGCCGATGAGTTCCCATCTCTGTCCCCAACCCAGACCTCTTGTCTCCTGAAATCCAAGTTCCAAGCTCCAAATATCCAATTGTCCCCTCAGTCGCTCCACTTGGATGCCTCATAGGCACTTCCGGTCCAACTCCCGACCATCCTCCAACAGCCTGGTCCCCTTCCAGGGGCCTCTACCTATCCATGCACGCACCCAAGCCACCTGCACGTCGGTCTCGGTTCCTCCCTGCCCTCACCGCCACCATCTGTCATCTCTCTCCAGCCTTATTCAGTCACCAAGTTGAGCCTTTCTAGCTCCTTCCCTGGCACCCAAATCTGTCTATTCCCTCGACCTGCACCATAACCTTCCCAGTCCAAACCAGCATCCTCTTCAGCTTCTGTGCAAGCAACCGTCTCCTAGGGACCTCCCCACTTCCAGACTTGGTGTATTCTCTACCCGGCAGGTACGCTGTTCTTTATAACAAGCAAATCTGGGCGCATCTTTCCCCTGCTTAAAATTCTCCAGGGACCCCCCCATGCCCAGGCTCTCTGTGCCACAGCCCCTACCTTCCTCTCCCATCTCACCTTCCCTCATCTCCCGTGACATCTCTGCCTTACACCCCACCCGCCAACCAAACTGAACCCCCACCGGCGCCTCATGCTTCCCGCTCACCTCTCTGGCTACAGCACGTTTCCACCGGGAGCCCTTTGTCTCCCTCACCCTTACCCGGTTTCTCCTGCCCCGACTAACTGTCACTCCAGGTTCCAGTTTGACTGTCGTTTCTTCTGGGAAGCCTTTCCTGACCATGCCACGCCTGCCCAGAGAATGTGACATGGCTCCACCATCTCACAGCACCTCAGACGTTTCCTATTCTATTCTAGCACTTGTGACCCTTTACAATCATTGCTTTTTAAATTACACATCTCTCACAACAGACTCTACGCGTCAGCCAGCAAGGCCCTGACTTACTGTCTCAATAGAACCCGGGACAATGCTTGACCCCTACTAAGCATGTGGCAAAAGTTGTGGAATGAGTCAGTGAATGAATGAATGAGTAAACGAATGAATGTAAAACTCTGCTTTACATATGTTATCTCATTTAATTCTTACAGGAACCTTTTAAGGTAGGTACTCTTCATTTCATTTTACAGGTAACAGAAGGGAAGCAGCTTGCCCCAAATCACACAGCTAGCAAACAGAAAGCTGGAAATTGGGCCCAGATTTAACACCAAAGCCCACAGTGCCACCGCTCTGGTCCCCTCCTCTGGCCACCCCATCCCATCACTCATCCCACACGAAGCCAGAGAGCCCTCTTGAGGCTGATCAAGGCTGAAACGCAGGCTGAGAACTGGTTACCTGGAAGCACGTGGGGCCTGGCCTCCCCGTGGGGATGTCTGACTGGTAGAAGACCTTGAGCTCTGGAGTCAGCGCGATGACAGTCTTTATCACCAGGGAGATGATGTCAGACCAGACCTTCTTGATGTCAACGCCTTTGGAAGACAGTCTACAAAGGATGCTGGAAAAAGTCCTTTTGCTGCCTGTGCTAGCACTGTCCGAATGGACGAAGTTGCCGCTGTGGATGTTCAGGGAATAGTTGGTTAAGTGCATAAAGATGTGGTGCAGGTTTTTGGGGGTGGGCTCCTGATATGGCTCAGTACAAAACCTGGACAGTCCGTCTTTGGCTATATAAATCTCTAAGGGGTCTAAGGACTTGAGTAAGACATACAGACGAATATCAAACTTGAGCTTGTCAATAAGGAGAGGTTTGCAGATGTACTCCTGGACCACCGCCGGCCTGCTCTGGAGGGTCCCTGCCAGGCGGATGTCACTGGGGTCTTTAATGAGGTAGATTCCGTCACCCTGACAACCACCATCAGGTTTCACGATAAAAGTGGGCTTCCAGGAAGGGTCATCATCTTTCACCATTCTAACCTGGAAGAGGGGAAAAAGGATGGCTGACATTATATTCTTTTCCCTCTGGATCCCTAGCACAGAGCAAGGCCTTAGCAGATGTGTGGTGGATGAGTGACAAGATGGTCCCTGCCGATCTGACCATGCGCCGAGCATCTTCCATTGAGACGACACTGCACAAGGTACGGAGATCGTGACATCAGGATTGGCCCCCGTCTTGTGCTCCAGAGTTGGACGGAGCTGTCTTGTGAAATGGACTGGCAGTCACAAGACCTGGGTTCAAATCCTGTTTTGCCAGTTATTAGCTTCCACCTTGAACAGGTCATGTAACTAATAACAGTGCTGAGAATAATAATGATGGTGAGCTGACATCATTTACGAGCTCCCGTGAGCACTATATCAGGCACTTACCTAATTAGCTCATCTAACCCTCACCAGAAATATGGTTGTGCCTTTTCACGTCAGGAACAGAGAGGGTACAGCAGTTGCTAAGAGCACGGGTGTTGGAGTCAGATGGCTTGGGCTTAGACACTGGCCCTGCTCCTTATCCTGGGCCTTGGGCAAGTGACTTAAGTTACCTACACCCTTCCCATCTATGAAATAGGAGTAAGGTTGTTTTGAGAATTAAATGCAATAATAAATGCAAGAGGCTAAGTACCTAGAATCTGACAAATAAAAGATAGTCCGAAGCCTGGCTGTCGCTCTTTTTAGAAGGTGAAGTGGCTTGACCAGGTGCAGTGGCTCACACCTGTAATCTCAGCACTTTGGGAGGCCAAGGCAGGTGAATCACCTGAGGTCAGGAGTTCGAGACCAGCCTGCCCAACATGGTGAAACCCCATCTCTACTAAAAATACAAAAAATTAGCCAGGTGTGGTGGCAGGCACCTGTAATCTCAGCCACTTGGGAGGCTGAGGCAGGAGAATCACTTGAACCCAGGAGGCGGAGGTTGCAGTGAGTGGAGATTACACCACTGCACTCCAGCCTGGGCAAGAAGAGCAAAACTTTCCCAAAGAAAAAGAAAAACAAAAGAAGATGAGCTGATTTGCCAGCTAATGGGGTTAGAATTGGGATCGGAATCTAGACTGATGACTAAAGCCCTCAGACCTTCCTCTATCCCACCATGTCTTGGTTTCCTCACTTTAGAAATGGGGATATAGACACCTACTCTCATTGTGTCATTGTAAGGATGAAATAAACTGAAACGTGCAAAGGACCAAGTGCAATACCAAACACAGAGCTAGTGCACAGGAAATGTCTGTTTCATGTTTACGCCCCTTCTTAAGTTCATCTGGTAGACCTGACCAGTCCTTCCATCCGTTGAGATCTTTTCCAAACAAGATCCTGTCGTCTGCAGTATTTGCTCTCCTCCCAGCTCCAGGTCAGCAGAACACGCACATAATTAACTATCTGGGCACCTGACCATACAGATAGTCGGTCTGGACCTGTGGTTCTGCATAATTCATCCTCACCCCATTGCCCCCGATGCTGGTGAGATGCTTCCTGCAGCTATGGAGAGTGGATGGACTGAAATGGCAGGAGAGGAGGTATTCACCAGGAGAGAGAAGCTGGAGGACACGTAAGGATGGATTTCAAAGAGGGAGCCATCCTCTCTGCAGCTTCTTGCATGAAAGTTTCCCTCTGAAATCTGAGAGCAGTGCCTGGCAGGCTGAGTTGGTGGGTGCCCCAGTGAGGGACTCCTTTCAGCCCTCGACCTTTGCTGTGTAAGCCCAACCCAGGACAGCTGCACTCTCGGCTGCACTTTTCTCTTTGACCAGCCTATATTTCTAAATGAAGCTTTTGCCAATTCCTTGGGCACTATCAGTTATTCCAGGCTTGTAAAAGATCTTTAACAATGGAGAAACACTTAAAGCCTTAATAATGGTCCACATCAATTGTTTGCCCCTGTCAGCAGGATTCAAGAATGGAACCTCACAAGAGATCAATGCAAGCCTCCCAGGGCCTTCCACTGAGGCTTTCTTGCAACTGTGACCTTGACATTTATGTAGTTACTTAATATTCATCCAAAGCATTCTTACACTCAGCCCTTGACCGTAAATATAAGCATGCTGGACAAATGGCAGCTATGGATCAGGAAGTGAAAAATGTCAGGTTTGCACTGATGGGAAATTTTTCCCTCTGGAAAGCTTTTGCTATGCCGAAGATACTAACAGTTCAATAGATTATCCAGAGCAATATTTTTTCCTTTGAATTGCATGTATATGCCTTAAATAAATTAAACTACACGGTCAATAGTCTCACTCACTCACTGGATTCCTGAATACTTCTGCTCTTTGCCAAAATAGTGCCATACAAATCAAGATTATTAAAACTCATAGAGTCATTGAAATTTTAGAACTAGAAGAATCCTCAGAGATCAATATCGCCCAGTGCTCTCAAAATTCAAGGGGGAAACTGAGGCTCAGAGAGGCGACATGACTTCCCTTGGGTCTCATAACCGGCCAGTAGGATGGTCAGGATGAGAACCTATGTCTCCTGACTCCACCTCAAGTTCATGGTGCCATTGTCACCTCTAAGATAAAATTAAAGATCTGTTTTTCTGTTTTCTGATATATTAGGAGGAACTTTCTATAGGAAAGACAGTACTGATGTCTGTGCTCTGTCCTCACCCTAAAGATTTTGGCCCTGAGTATGGCCATCCAGGAACTGTATCTGTAGATCCTGAGCTGGCCAGACTGCCCCAGTTTCAAATCTTCTGTCTGGGTGCCTGGCTCTATAGGAAACCCTCACAATTGTTCAGAACGTGGTTCCCGTAGCCACTAGAGCCTTCTGCCACTGCTACCCTAAAAAGAGGAACATTTTTCAGAATTCACATTTACTCTCCTCTGAGGTTTATTCAAGAATGACCCTTTCCCAGCAGTTATTAAAGTTAAAAAGTAACACATTGGCTCTTAAAAAGAAGTGATGGACCAGAATGAAAATATCATCCATATACCTCAGCCCCAGCCTCAGCAATTCTGATTTAATCGATCTGGGATGAGACCTGGTCATGTGTATTTTGGAAAAATCACCACAGGTGATTCTGATGTGCACTCTGTCTGAGAATCGCTGGACTATATGAATTAAATTAATATACCATCTGAAACCAACATATTCAATGAAGTATTCTGCACAGATGTTAGCTGGAGTGTGAGGAAGATTTGCACTTAGGCTACGACTGACGGTATCTCTAGTTTTATCCAAAGCCACTGTTGGACCTGAAATCCGTTACCTTGTAACTGTATACACAGATGGCTGAAAGATACACAGAGGAGGTAGTGGCCTAATTGCCTGGCACTACTTTGGCCTGCTGAAAAATTTATGTGGTTTTTACTGCCCCCTAGTGGGCATTTAGAAAACGCTACTGGGAAAGTCCCTCGGTTCAAAATTCCAATACTACAGAGCAGTACGATATTCTATTAAGATATTAAAATGGTCTTAAAGAAACACCACTACAAATGAAATATTATTCAGCCTTAAGAAGGAAGAAAATTCTCACACACGGCACAAAATGAATGTATTCTGAGGATATTATGCTAAGTGAAATAAACTGGACCCCAAAAGACAATACTGTAGGAGTGTACTTATATGGGGTGCCTGGAGCAGTCAAACTCAGAGATAGAAATTACAATGGTGTTTTCCAGGGGTTGGGGTTGGAAGGAATGGTGAGTTAATGTTTAATGGGTACAAAGCTGCAGTTTTGCAAAAGGAAAAAAATTCTGGAGATGGATGGATGATGGTTACACAAAAATATGAATATACTTAATGCCACTGTACACTTAACATACACGTGATGCACATTTAAAAATGGTTAATCTGATAAATTTTGTCATTTATATTTTACCAAAATCTTAAAGTTAATTTTTAATTTTTTTTTTTTTTTTTTTTTTTTTTGAGACTAAGTCTTACTCTGTTTCCCAGGATGGAGTGCAGTGGTGTGGTCTTGGCTCACTGCAACCTCTGCCTCCCAGGTTCAAGTGATTCTTCTGCCTCAGCCTCCCAAGTAGCCAGGATTACGGCACACACCACCACGTAGAGACAGGGTTTCGCCATGTTGTTGGCCAGGCTGGTCTCGAACTCCTGACCTGAAATGATTTACCTGCCTCAGCCTCCCAAAGTTCTGGGATTACAGGTGTGAGCCACCGTGCCTGGCCAATTTTTAGTTTTTGTAAGTCATAGCTTTTGGTGAGTTAGAAATAGTACCATAGTGAAAAACAGAAAACCTGGATTTTAGTCCCAGTTGTTTCTGACTGTGTGGCCTTGAGAAAGTCACCTAACTTTCTGGGCTTTGTTGTACTCACCTATAAAATAAAAGGGTCACACTAAGGTCCCTGGTTTCTGCCAAAGAACAAGTGCTGACCCATGATTTATCTCAACACCACCACAGTTGAGGGCTGCGTTACAAACACGCAAGCGGCATTCATCACGCTGGAGAGTTCCCACTGAGCTGTTGGGATCAGCACATTGGGATGATCTATAAGAGGAGGAGATTTGGATCTGAGATTTATGATGCATTTGAGGAAATCAGCAGGGCATTTGGAGAAAGCAAGCTAAAACATTTGGAGGGAGAAATTCAGCAACTGGAATATCAAGCCCCAAAACATTATTAGCAGTGAGGGGCAGGTAAGAGCCCAATTTCTGAAGAAATACTGTCTGTGTCTGCAATACCAGGGAAGTCAAACCCAGTTAGGGCAGCCCTTTGTCACTCAGGTGGATTTACATCCAATCTTAGCAACTCAGACCTTTGATGCCACAGGCACACGCTGCAGATCTCAGGTAAAAACAAGCCTCTGGTAGACAAAATCAATGTCACACAGGGCATGCCAGACGGGAGGCAGGGCCAGCCCCTGCTAGCCTTAGGGATATGAGCCTGGTACCTAGGACAAATTCCTACCTCAATGTTCAAGGCAATTTTTGAGTTCAGTTAAGACGGAAGGCGGTGAGGTCATCCTAGGGCCAGATGGAAAGGGCAAGAATGGCCTGTTGGGGCAGAGTGGGGGATAGGGCAGGGAGGCGGGGAGGAA